ATTAGAAAATTAAATATATAATCAAAATGACATTGAAATGAAACAGTAAAATATATTCAATTCCAATAATAAAAAGATATATGTGAATCAAAGCAGGCAAGGTAAACAGAGGGAGAGAAAAAAAAGGGTGGAGAAAACAACAGAAAATAACATGATAAAGATAAATAAATACATATCAGTTATAATCATCAATGTTAATGGTCTCAATTCATCAATCAAAAGACATGCACTGGCAGAATCGATCAAGAAGCAAGATCCAGCCTTGCAAGCATGTGACATGTCACATGTCACAGGCCTGACCTATGACATGTGAGACACCGGGCACATGTCACATGGATGCATGTGACATGTGACATGTGTGACACATGTCACATGTCACACATGTGTCGTGTGATGTGTGACATGTGTGAATAATGTCAAATGTCACACATGTGACATGTGACATGTGTGATTTGTCATGCCTGTTACATGTGACATGTGACATATGACATGTGCGACGCATGTCACTTGTCAAACTGTGATATGTGACATGTGACATATGTCACACGTCATACATCACACGTGTGACATATGATATGTGACATGTGTGACATGTGTCATGTAATGTGACATTTGTGACACACGTCCCCTGTCACAAGTGTGCATTTAACATGTGACATGTGTGACCCAAGTGACATGTCAAACATGTGTCATGTGACATGTGTGAAGCAAGTCATATATCGCACATGTGACATGTGACACATGACATGGGTCAAACATGTCACAAGACACATGTGACATGTGACACGTTACATGTGTGACACTTGTCACATGTGTGACATGTGATATGTTACATGTGTGACAAATGTCACATGTCATACTGTGACATGTGGTATATGACATATGACATGTGTAACAAATGTCACATGTCACACATGTGACGTGTGACATGTGTGACCCATATCACATGTCGCACTTGTGTCATGTGACATGTGACATGTTTGACTCATGTTGCACGTGGGATATGTGACACATGACATGGATCACACATGTCACATGTCAAATGTGTGACATGTGACATGTGTGACACATGTCACATATCAGATGTGTGACATGTGACATGTGTTTCACTTGTTAAATGTCCACTTGTTACGTTTGACATGTGGCATGTTTGACACATGTCACATGTCACACGTGTGACACCTGACATGTGACAGGTGTTACACATGCCACATATCACACGTGTGACATATGATATGCGATATGTGTCAGATGTATGAGTCAGAAAAACACTACGAGGTTATGCACAGCAGGTGGTTCTGAACTAGCCTGGGAAAATGTAGGTGTGTGAAAAACACCATGAGTTGTTGCATGTTGGGTCTGAACCAGGCAGGGGATATGTAGGAGTGAGAAAAACATTACAGGCTGGTATGTGTTGGGAGGGATTGAACGAGGCCGCAAAAATGTAGATGTGAGAAAACCACCATGGGCCTCATCAGTAGGGTCTGAACCAGATAATGAAAATGTACGATGAGAAAAACACCACGGGGTTGTGCGCATGGGAGGGGCTTGAACCAGGCAGGGAAATGTACTAGTGAAAAAACCATGACTGCGTATTTCGCATCAAAAGGGCCAGAAGCAGGCAGTGGAAATGTAAGAGTGTGATAAACACCACAGGGTTATGTGAGAAGTCACATGTCACACGTCTGACATGTTACATGTGTGACATGTTACATGTGTGACAAATATCACATGTGACATGTGACACATGACATGTGTCACACGTGTCACACGTGTGACATGTGAAATGTGACATGTGTGACCCATGTCAAATGTCATACGTGTGGCATGTAACATGTGACATGTGTGAAACACGTCACATGTCACACGTGTGACATGTGTGTGACACATGTCACATGTCACACGTGTGGTATGTGACATGTGACATGTGACATGTGGGACACATGACACGTCACACGTGTGACATGAGACATGTGACATGGGTGAAACATGTCACATGTCACACCTGTAACTTGTGACATATGACATGTGACAGATGTGACAAATGTTACATGTCACACATGTGACATGTGACATGTGTCACACTTTTCACATGTCACAGTGTGACAGGTGACATGTGACATGTGTGACGTGTGTCACATGTCACATGTCACATGTGTGACATGTAACATTTGTCACACCTGTCACATATCACATGTGTGACATTCGATATGTGACATGTGTGACGTCTGTCACATGTCAGACTGTGACATGTGACATGTGACATTTGACAGGTGTCACACATGTCACATGTCACATCACACATGTGATCCAGAGTGCATGACATACGTGTCGTGTGATGCATATGACATACGTGTGACATGTGATATGTGATATGTGTGACCCACACCATATGTCACACGTTTGACATGTGACATGAGACATGTGTGACCCATGTCACATTTAACACGTATGACATGTAACATGTGATGTGTGACATGTGACATGTGGCGTGTGGGACACATCATGTCACCAGTAACACGTGTGACATGTGACATGTGCCAAGTGTCACACATGTCACATGTCACACGTGCGATATGTGACATGTGACATGTGTGACACATGGCACATGTCATGGTGACTCATGTGACATGTGACAGGTGGCATGTGTGAAGCATGTCACATGTCAAATGTGTTACGTGTGTCATGTGACTTGTGTGATACATGTGACACATCACATGTTTGACATGCGATATGTGACATGTGTTACCTGTGTCATGAGTCTGACTTGTGACATGTGACATGTGACATTTGACATGTGTCGCACATATCACATGGCACACATGTGACAAGTGACATGCAACATGTGATGTGTGTCACATATGTCACAAGTCACATGTGTGACATGTGACATGTGAGATGAGTGAACCATTCACATGAAACACATGTGACATGTGACATATAACATGTGTCACCCATCTCACATTTCACACGTCTGAAATGTGACATGTGGCATTTGACATGTGTGACACAAGTCACATGTCATTCGTGTGACACGTGGCATGTGACACATGTCACAATTGTCACATGTCTCACGTGATACTGGTCACATGTCACACATATGACATTTGATAAATAGCATGTGTAAACCGAATGACATGTCACACTTGTTACATGTCACATGTGACATGAGAGACACATGTCACATGTCACACGTGTGACATGTGACATGTGATATGTGTCACACGTCACAATGGTGATTGTCACATGTGACATGTGTGACACATAGCACATAGCACACGTGGGACATGAGACATTTGTGACATGTGACATTTTTGACCCATGTCACATGTCACACTTGTTACATGTCATATGTGACATGTGTGACACATGCCAAATGTCAGACTGTGACATGGAACATGTAATGTGTGTGTCACATGTCACCTGCCACACATGTGACATATGACATGTGACCTGTGTCACAAATGTCACATATCACACGTGTGGCATATGACATGCGATATGTGTGACCCATGTCACATGTCACCTCTGTAACATGTGACATGTGTCACACATTTCACATGACACACCTGTGACACATGTGACATGTGACATGAGACATGTGTTACACATTTCACATATCACACGTGTGACCTGTGACATGTGACAGATGTGGGCCATATCGTATCTCACACGTTTGACCTGTGACATGTGACATGTGTGACTCATGTGACATGTCATACATCTGACATGTGACATGCCACATGTGTGACACATGTCACACATGTGCTGTGTGACATATGACATGTTACATGTGTGACACATGTCACAGGTCACACTTGAGACGTGCCAAGTGACATGTGACATGTGTGATACATGTCACATGTCACTCGTGTGACATGTAACATGCAAAATGTGTGACACATGTCACATGTGTGATATGTGACATGTGACATATGCGAGACATGTCACATATCACACATGTGACATGTGATATGTGTGAGCCATAACATGTCACGTGTGTCATGTGACATGTGACATATATGACCCATGTCACACATGTGTCATTTGACATGTGTGACCAATGTCACATGGGTAACATGTGACATGTGTGACCCATGTCACATGTCACTCATGTCCCATGTCACCTGTGTGATGTGTCATGTTATGTGTGAAAAATGTGACATGTCACACGTGTGACATGTGACATGTGACATTTGACATGTGTCACACATATCAGATGTAACACGTGTGACATCTGACATGTGTGACATTTCACATGTTACATGTGTGACACATGCCAAATGTTCCACATGTGACATGTGACATGTGTGATACTTGTCACATGTCACACGTGTGACATGTCACTTGCGACATAACCCCGTGGTGTTTTTCACACTCTTGCATTTCAACTGACTGCTTCTGGCCCTCTCGATGGGAAACACGCAGTCATGGGTTCTTCACTAGTATAATTCCCGGCCTGGTTCCGGCCCCACCCATGTGCACAACCCGTGGTGTTTTTCTCATTCTACATTTTCATGATCTGGTTCAGACCCTAAGGATGAGAACCACTCCGTGGTGGTTTTCTCCTAGATTTTTCCGGCCTCTTTCAGTCCCTCCTGATGTGTACCAGCCCGTAATGTTTTTCTCAATCCTACATATCACCTGCCTGGTTCAAACCCAGTGTGCAACAACTCGTGGTGTTTTTCACATACCTACATTTTCCTGGCCTAGTTCAGACCCACCTGTGGCATATCCCTCGTTGAGTTTTTCTGACTCCTACATTTTCCCAGCTTGTTACAGCCCCTCCCGATGCGCACCATCCCATGGTGTTTTTCTCATTCCTACATTTTTCTGTCCAGGTTCAGACTTTGACCATGCGAACAAGCCCTTGTCTAATTTCAGAATGTATGTGCTACACAATTGCTATTGACACGTTTGTTCTGTTTGTGTATAGGTCTTATGCATAGTCAGTTGGAATCCCTGAGTGACTCTTGGGTCCACCTGAAACATAGCAGAGACTGGTTATACAACTCCTCTTACTCTTTTGAGTCTGATTTTGATCTCACCAAGTCTTTGGGAGTTCACACTTTGATTGAAAATGTTGGAAGCTTTGTGAGTGGAGATGTGGGGAATACCCCAGGCTTTAAAGAGCCAGAGGACAGCATGTCTACAAGTCCCCAGGCTTCCATCATTGCAATGGAACAGCAACAGTTGAGGGCAGAAGTAAGTCTTTGATATTTATTCCTCATGAGAGACTCTGAAACTCCACCAAATGTACACTGCTTGGAAAAGCTTTTCTTTTTCTTCCATTCTTTGTCTCTTTCTTTCATCAGGATTTTGACATTGTTTCTTACCTAAAATAGGGTGGTATTTTGTTTGAGCTGGACAAAAGTATGTTTGAAAATTGTCATTTATTTGAATAAGATACTCTAATTATAAAACTTCCCTTGTCTCCTGGAAACTAGAATCAATTGGTTGTTGATCATAGGAATGTCTCCATCTTTGACCTATTTGTCCCAATTTAAACTAGACTTCTAAATCAGGTTAGATTAATAGTCACTGCAGGTAAGACTCATTGATGAATGGTAAAATTGGTGAGCAGAAGTTGAAGGAGCCATGGGATGTTTTGATACCTACCAAGTATCCTCCCTCAAATATTGATTGATTACAGTGGCTTTAACATGTCCACAGGTGACTTAATACCTTTCCTTGTAATAGAGATAATTTCTCTCCCCTGAATGCACTAGATTTAGTAACTAGCTTGGAGCAGAGTATGGGAAGGGAAAAAATAGTTAACTTCTCATTAGTGAAATCTGACAAATACCACCTTGACTAAATAATCAAGATTAACATCATCAGTAGTATGTCATGTTGATATTGCATGCTCTTAACATAATGTGATGCCACTTTAACTCCGTGGGATTCTCCCCCCATATCTGTAATTCTACTCTTATGTGAAAAAAAAAAAAAACCATTCAGGCAAACCTAAACTTAGAGTTCTATAAGACTTAAGAGCAGCAGTTTCAACATGTAGAAATTATAAGAAAAGATTTATACATCATCATAGACTAGTAATGGATCCTTGAACAGAAAAGGGGTTTTATGGAAAGGCTATGAGTTCTAGATAATATTTATGTTTAGTTAATATTGGTTTTGGTAATTATACTGTACTTACAGAAAGCTTTTTTTTTTTTAATCGGTACTAGGGATCGAGCTCATGACCATGTGCTTGCAAGGCAGACACTTATGCCGCTGAGCTAAAGCCCCAGCTAATAGAAAATTTTAAGGGAGACTAGATGAAGGATGTACAGGAAGTCTCTACTATCTTTATAACTATTCTGTAAATGTAACATTATTAAAAATTTTTAAAGAAGACTAGAATGCTCTACTAGGGTGGTGGATTGTCTATAGTGGATAAGGAAAATAGAGGCAAAATTCAAGAGAACCATGGAGAAACAATTCAGAATTAGTTCTACTTTTGAGCTAAAAAATACTAATTCTCCAACCTATAATCCCAGCATTCTGGAGGCTGAGATAGGAAGACTGAAAGTTCAAGCCCAGCCTAGGCAATTTAGCAACTTAATGAGATCTGTCTCAAAATTAAAAAAATAAAAATGGCTGGGGGTATAGCTCTATGCAGTGCAAAGGGATTGGGTTCAATCCCCGTACTGTCTCCCTACCCCGAGAAAATACTCATTCTATATGATCTTGTTACTATTTCTGGTACTACCTTATAGTTTTGAAGTGATCTGCTATATCTCTTGTGAGTTTCAGAATAGTTGTTACTCGTTAAATAAGGTCCTGTTAGACTCATTTATATGGAAAAAACTGGTTCTTAAGAAGTTAACTGACATTTCAAATACCGAAGATAAGGACGACCTTAATAACACGTCTTCCTCCAAATCTTCTTTAAGGGCTAGAGTTATAGCTCAGTAGTAGAGCACATGCTTAAATTAACACAGGCAAAGCCCCAATTTCAGTCCTCAGAACCAAAAATAATGTAAATCTGCTACTTTTCCATTACTGGATAGCTTGTTAAACACTGAAATGTACTTATAGAGTTTTTAGAGCTGTCTTGATATAAAAAAACAGTAATAATAAAAAATATTAGCAGAATCAGTTACTTTGAAAATGTCAGAATTTTTTGTGCTAAATAATAGGATTGTGGTGTACAGGATTCTTTTATGCCTGAGTTCAGTGATGAACTCTAAAATGTGTCTTTTTCCTCAAGCTTCGTTTGGAGGCACTTCACCAAATCCTTGTTCTGTTGTCCGGAATGGAGGAAAAAGGTAGCCTGTCGCTGGCAGGAAGCAGATTGAGTTCAGGCTTTCAGTCCTCCACATTGCTCACATCTGTGAGACTGCAGTTCCTTGCAGGGTGTTTTGGTTTAGGCACTGTTGGACACACTGTTGGAGCCAAAGGAGAGAGTGGCCGCTTACATCACTATCAGGTAGGCAAACACCTTGCAGTATACTTAGAGTTTAATTGTCTTTTTGTTATAAATGCATTGTAATAATGTGAAACTGTAGTGTTTGTGATGAGGTTTTAAAATGTAAAGGTTATGGCTGGGAATATAGCTCAGTGGCACAGTCCTGCCTGGCAAGCACGAGGTTCTGAGTTTGATTTCCCACGCACGCACGTGTGCACGTACACACACACACACACACACACACACACACACAGAGAGTAAAGGTTTTAAAATAACCTTTTAAAAATGTCTCATTGATTAAGCTTGTTAACTAGTACAGTTGGGATTAGATGGACCCTAATACTATTGTACTTTTCAGATCAGTTTTATTAACCCTTAGCCAGATTATATAGAGCTACATGTAAATTGAGAAGGAGATTAGGGTATGAGAATTGTTTACATTTTTAGATTTGATTATGTTACCTAGTTCTTCTGATTCTTACAGTTTTTTAAAAACTTACCTTTATGTCATATTCTTAGAAAATATTGCTTTATGAGGAAGAAGGATTTTATAGTTAGGAATTATCAAGCATTTAAATAGATTTATTATAAAGCTTTTATATACTGAAAGTAAATAAAAACTACCTTCATGCCTTAGAACAGACTAGGGATAAAATGTTATTACTTCTTTTGCGAAGAAGTATTATTATTGCTAATAGAAAATGTAATCTATGTGTAATTCAGGATGGAATCAGAGCAGCCAAGAGAAGTATTCAGATTGAAATCCAAGTGGCTGTGCACAAGATTTACCAACAGTTGTCTGCTACTCTGGAACGAGCTCTGCAAGCAAATAAACATCACATTGGTGAGTCATTATCCTTGCAAATGCAGGATACAGGGTGCATTTTGCCTAAGAGTATGATAAATAGCTATGTTCTAAAGTTTTGTGCTTAATATCCATAGACTGACATTGAAGAGTCAGTCATTATATTTTACAGTTTATGTTAAAAATTTAGTAAATGCTCTGTTTAAAGAATATTGTCAGTCATTGCTCTCTCTCTCTCTCTCTCTCTCTCTCTCTCTCTCTCTCTCTCTCTCTCTCTCTTTTTATAGAAGCCCAGCAGCGTCTCCTTTTGGTTACAGTTTTTGCCTTGAGTGTTCATTATCAACCAGTGGATGTCTCCTTGGCAATTTCTACTGGTCTTCTAAATGTCCTGTCCCAGTTATGTGGCACGGACACCATGTTAGGACAACCCTTGCAATTGTTGCCAAAGAGTGGTGTTTCCCAGCTGAGCACAGCACTGAAAGTGGCTAGTACCAGGCTACTTCAGATTCTAGCTATCACTACAGGGTAAGTATTGTAAATGTCTCAGTAGAGCTACCTGGAGCCTGGTGTTGCCACCACAGTTAAGTGCCCTTCTGTATATAATTAAGAACAGAGAGATCTAAAGTTGTGTTCTTATCACTAAAAAAAAATTCCTTTTATTTCATATAGGACCTATGCTGACAAACTGAGCCCCAAGGTAGTTCAGTCTTTGTTGGATCTACTCTGTAGTCAGCTGAAGAATTTGTTATCCCAAACTGGTGTACTTCTTATGGCCTTGTTTGGAGAAGGTGAAAAAGAAGAGGGTGAAGAAGAAAAAAAAAAAAGTTGACTCCAGTGGAGAAATTGAGAAGAAAGATTTCAGAGGTATCATAAGCCTTTCTCTCTGTCATTACTTGAGGTATTTACTGCATCCTCATTGAGTGTGATAATTTACACACCACTTTTCTTTTAGGTATGTATGCGTTAGCTGAGATGACTGAATCTTGTGTGCTGCACATTCAGCTTCTCTTTGGATGTCAGCTCTGGGACATAGATTTTAGGTGACTGGTTTCTTCCAGGTTATGTCTTGCTTGGGGAACACCTCAGACTGTTTCTTACTTAGTATTTTGTCCTGAAAAACCATCTCTAGCCACAATCCTTACCTAAAGAGTCCCTGGGGCTCTGGAGTTGTGATGTTTGGGAAGTGGCTGATGATTAGAGGAGCTGGCCTTCTGCCTAGGTGGTTCTATTCTGTGCTAAGGGTAGAATTCTGCATTATATGTAGCCTTATCCTTTTTGGTTGCTGAGGTGGCATTTGCTCGTGGCTTTATAGTGGCTATTCTCAATAGAGTTTATGCCCTGAATGGCAGAACTACTATATACATCTTTTATATAATTAAGGACAGAGAGATTTAAAGTTGGTCATTTACTCAAAAAAGATTGTGATCCTGCCATATCTCATTACTGTAGCAGCTCTGGGAATACTTAAAGCCCTTTCTGGATTTCATGGATTGATAAGGCAATTCTGTGTTCCAATTCCATCATCTATAACTATAAGGATAATTATAGAAGTAATTTCCAAAGATCATTGTGAGGATTAAATAATAGCACATTAAAGGCTATAGAGTAGTGACTGGCATATAGTAAAAACTCAGTGAATATTTATATTAGAATATTGTAAATAATATTAAAAATTAAAGGAAAATACTATTTAAATCGTATTCGTGTTGTTACTGACTTATGGGTGGATAGAGAAAATATCATGGGGTCATAAAATAATAAAGCATTGTCCCCACCTTCATGAACTTTCTAGAGCAATGAGGCTGGTAACATGTAAACAGATAACTGCAGTGTAATAGAAGAAGCTCAGAAGAAACATCTGAATTTCTTAAGTCCAAATGTAGAAAGTTATAGAATGACTAAGGACTAATTAGCTTTCCAGTTTCAGAGACTAAACCAGTGGCAAGTTCCTTTTCTCTTTGTATGTGTGTAGTATGATTCTTCCATAAAAATTCTCAAGGTCTGATAAATTAAAAATGTTTTGTGCTACTTCCTTCTTCCCTCAGGTCTACTGGGGGACACAAGGGTATTAAGGGGCTAGGTCTCACTAGTGGACTTCAGAAAAGACATTACACAGGCACTTTTCAGCCTGCGGAGCCTCAAGAAAACTGGCACCTTCTATGGCAGTAAAGAGCACCAGTTCTTCTGTGACGGAGAAGTGGCTTGGGTAACGGCAGTCTGTGTCCACAGCATTTTCCTCTAGCTGTCCTACAGAGACAGCCATTGGACCCTCTCCATTGTATGGGGGTGGCAAGGAATGAGATTCCCTCATGTTAGCAGTGATCAGGTATTCAGAGGGAGGCTGCCAGGTTTGTAACTCTCAGTCCTTCTAAACTACTTAATTAAAAACAAGATATGTCTGCCACTTGAAACAGTAATGATACTGAGACACAAACTGTATAATCAAATTTTTATCAATTAGCTTTGTATTTAGGGCCTCCAGATTTCAAATAGATTAATTAATTCAGTGATTTTTTTTCCAGAAATATTTACAGGGTTATATGCAGGAAAAAATGGTAGTGTGGGTGCTCATGGAAAAACTGAGAATGGTGTTAATACAAATGATTTTCCCAGGACACCTCTACCAAGAGAGAAGGCTTCATTAGAGGAGATAGCTTTTTAAACAAAATCTTAAGAGTGTGTAGAGACAAGCTTAGAGTGAGATATGTACATTCATAGGGCAGGCCAATGCTGTTACATTCTTCCCAACTTATCAGAAACTCTTATTTGCTTAGTGTATAAGAAAGAAACACAGTTCTGTGTGGGAGAAATGTAGAGAAGGAGGAGTTTGCTGTTGTTTTTTAATTGTCTCCAGCAGTTTAATCTTGTCATAGATTGCATACCCATCCCTGGGTGGTGTTAACTGGATACACATTCCTGTCAAGGTAGTTCATGGCCCTTGTGTTGTCATAGTAGCATACATGGGGGTCTCTATCACAAGGGACTTACCTGTGTTTGTTAATTCAGCATACCAAGATCTTTCTTTAAGAGTATTGAATGTACTTGCTCCAAACTGTTGCAATTTCTCTCTTTTTTTAAATTGTCCCCCTTGGGGATTGACATTCTGGGCAACTGGCACAATGCTGGGTGAGGAGGTGTTAAAGGTGTTGGGTGATAGGGAAGGAGGTGTATGATAGGAACAGTAGGTAGTTTCTGAATCAGTGAGAACAGGATGAGGAAGATGGTGGTATGAATGCTCATGGAGAAAATGAGAATAGTCTCAACACAGCACTGTGTGAAGGTCGTATATAGAGATATTGGTCCCTAGCAAGTTACACTCATGCCTAGAAATTTAGGGGGCTCTTTGTGTTTACAGACTCTAATAAAAAGAGATAGTGTCTTTTAGAAACGTTGGGATTGAGGATCGTGGAGGTTTTTGAAAATATATTAAAGGCTATGAACTTTCTATTAAAATACACACACACACACTCACACTCACTTCTCATACAATTTTGAGGGAGCGGGTTTTGTAGGCCATTCTCAATTCTACCCATTAAAATTCTAGCCTTGGGTAAGGAACCATTGTTTTTTACAATAGCAGCTAAAAAAAAAATAGATCAAACATGTACACATACACATTCTAGCATGTTCACTCTTATTGTGCACAATGCAAAAGATGTTTCATTTAACTTTATTTTCTGACCTTTCTCCCTATTTTTTGAGTTTTAAAAAGTCAGTAGCTTACTGAAAACCTAGCTTGTGAACCAAATTTGTGCTCACTGATACATAAACATAAGCTATGTGGGATAAATGTAAGCTCTTCTAGTTTAATGTAAACTTGTCTCTTTACTCTTCAGCTGCTCTTAGGAAACAACATGCAGCCGAATTGCATCTCGGGGATTTTTTAGTTTTTCTTCGCAGAGTTGTGTCTTCAAAAGCAATTCAATCAAAAATGGCTTCCCCAAAGTGGACAGAGGTGCTTCTAAATATAGCATCTCAGAAGTGTTCCTCAGGTATATGTTCTTTGCCTTTGTTTTAGAGTTTTTTCATATATCATATTTATCTCATTAAGATAAAGTACTGCTAGACTTTAACAACCTTGGATATTTGACCTTGATCTCAAGATTTCTTTGTTTTGTTGTTGTTTTCAGAGTACATATTTGATCTAAAGAAAACTGTAGTTTCATGTGTTACAATGGGTTGAGGATTAATAATCCTCTGCTGGGCTTGGTGCCACATATCAGTAATCTCAGCACTCTAAGAGGCTGAGACAGGAGAATTTCAAGTTTGAACCCAGCAACTTAGTGACTTAGCAACACCTTGTCTTAAAAAGGGGGGTGTGGGTGAGGAAATGGTTCAGCTGAAGGCCCTGGGGTCACTCCATAGTACCGCTGCAAACAAAACAAAAGGTAACAGACTGGACAAGAGAAGATTGTAAAGTTTAGACAGTTTGACCCTTTATTATGATACATACTAAAAATAAACGGAGAGTGTTCTGTTTGGCATAATTTGGCACAGGTTCTGGCCTCTCTTCTTTCATTGTGATGATACAGATCTGAATTTTCCCATTCTTTTTTATCATAATATGATTTGTTTCCTTTTGAATTCTGTTTACATGATATCTATGACAGTTCTCTATTATACGATTAATTTTTGGCTCTTAGCCTGACAATCTGGTCTGCTTACATAGATTACTACAGTCTCAGTCTGATTTTTAAAATTTTGATAAAATATGCACAACAGAAAATTGATCATTTTAATCATTTAAATATACAACTGAATGCCATCAGACATATTTATAATATTGTACAACTATCCATTTCCACAACTCTTTCATCATCCTTTGTACGTTTTAAAATTGCTAGAACACAATATGATGTTTCATTTTACGTGTTATTTTATATTTATATTTTCAGTATACTTCAGGTTTTCTTTAGTATAATTCACAACAGGTTTTTCTTTTTCTTGTTTTTTTTTTTTGTTTTTTTTTTTTCTCTTTGGAACAAGGTATCACAGTGCAGTTCATGCTGGCCTTGAACACACTTTGTAGCCCAGGCTAGTCTCAAACTTGGAATGCTCCTTCTGCCTCAGCCTCCTGAGTACTGGGATTACAGGCATGCGCCACCACCTGTGGCTGTATATTAAATTGTTAAGCACAAAGAAAACCTAGATATTTATTTTTAACTGGTTTGCTGTCGTTATATGTAGAAAAAATGAATATATGTGTATGCATCAGTTTTCCGTCTCTACTGTTACTTAACCTTAGAGACATATAAACTGTTTGGTCCTCATTAACCCTCATAGTCTTTGGGAGGCAGTCAGATCTGTGATGAGAGAGACAGACAGAGGGTATGAATAAGCATGAGTGTTAGGGATTGAGGGCCTGTTTAAAAATCCTCATGCTCCTGAGCTGTGTGGCTGTGGTCAGATTTAACTACTCTGAGCCACAGTCTTCTAAGTAAAATGGGGCTGTGAGTCAGGGTATGGGAGCATCAAAGAAGTTAAAGCAGGTGAGATGCACAGCACAGTACATGGTACAAGTAGTTATTTTAGTGGGAAATGAAAATTCAGGTATAAACTGATTATTTATATGTGCATATAATGGGTGTAGGTTGGGTGCAGCACTCATGGGATAATGGGTTGAAATGTAATTCTATTCATTAATGCTTAACCACCTCAGGACTTTTTTTCAAGAAGTTCATTATAACTTTGAATTTCTATCACATTGAGATGGGAAATGTCTTTACCTCACCAGGTATTCCTCTAGTTGGGAACTTAAGAACAAGACTCCTTGCGTTGCATGTCCTTGAAGCTGTGTTGCCGGCTTGTGAATCTGGTGTGGAAGATGACCAAATGGCCCAGGTTTACATTTTTAAAGTTTCTAGATTTTTTTTTATTTCTGCTCTGTGATTCACCCAGAATCTAAACTTGTACATAATTTCTTCAGTTATAAGTGTGTCATTTTTTCAGTAGTATAATTTCCAGTTTTAAGACTGATTTCTTTATTAGTTTTCTCAAGGAGAAAGAAATTAAGTTATAAGGTTTGAGAAGCAGAGGGTAGGGAATACTTGCAAAATCAAAAGAAAAGGACAGTCTGTGGAATTTCTTATGAGGTTTGGCCTCTCAAAAGAGAAATGTGTGAGATTGTACAGCCTCATCAGAGCTCCATATATAGTAAGGCAATGTAAGAGCAGTGGAACTCACTTTCTAGTGGCTTAGCAATCTTTATAAAACAACAACAAAAACAACTTACAACACCAAAACTAGCTGTTGGACACTGGTATAATTATGCTTCATGTGTGACTTAATAGTACTTGTTACATTTTTTCTAAAAATACTTAAAATTCTTTTTAATTACTTAAATTTTTTTTATAAATTTGTCTTTTTTACTTCCATAAATCAGGTTGTGGAATGCTTATTTTCCCTTCTATCAGACTGTATGTGGGATACTCCCATTGCTCAGGCCAAACATGCTATTCAGATAAAGGAAAAAGAACAAGAAATAAAATCACAGGTAATCAATTCTTCAAAATGGTGTTTTTAAACAGTACAAGAGAATATACTGTCACTGTCTCTGGATGCAGTGTCCTCTCGAGGACTTTGCTCTCTCAGTTATTTCATTTCCCCTTTCTGCATTCTGTGTCCTCTGCCGATTTCTTCTACCTCAGTTTAGACCCATGTTCTACCCTCACATTTGTATCAGCAAAGCTCTCTATATCCTTTCTCCTGTACTTCACCACTAAACTTCTCAGAAGAATAATGTTTGCCTCAGCACTTCCTTCTCATTGTCTCTTCAACCCAACTGTTTCATCTTCTATTGAGATAGCAGAATGGAATTTTGAAGGGAGGTGTTCATTACCAGATAGTATGCAGGTGTTCCTTAGCATTGAGAGGGAGCTGGTTTCAGGATCTCCCAGGAATGCAAAAATCAGTAGATGTTCAAATCCCTTCTAAAAGTTGGTATAGTGTTTGCATGTAATCTAAGTGTATCCTCTCATGCGTTTGACTCATCTCTAGATTATTTGTAATACCTATTACAATGTAAATGGTTGTTTTAAAATATTGTTCAGAGAATAATGACCAGAAAAATGTCTGTATATTTTCAGTATAGTTGCAGATTAAAAAAAAATTCTTTTCCAGCGAGAGATGGTGACATATATCTGTAATCTGAGCTACTTTGAAAAAAAAAACAAATTTATTTTTCAATCTGTGGCTGATTGAATCTGCAGATGCAGAACTCAGGATATAGAAGCACTACTGTCTGCTTATGGCCTATATTTTATTTGACCTCTTGAAATGTCAGCTTTTTGTTGTTTTTAAAGCAATACTTTTCCTGAATCTCTACATACTTCTCCCAACCCTTGGTTCTCTTTGGAATTGACTTATTTGGTGCTGCTTTCACCTTCTTTCCATCTCAAAATACTGATATTCCGTCAAAATTCCCTTCTAGGGTTTACCAACAGTCTGTCTGTCTTCTTTCCTTTTTAAAAGACAGTGTCTCACTAAATAAATCAGGCTGGCCTTGAACTCAACTATGTAGCCCAGACTGGCCTTCAATTCATGGTGACCCTCCTGCCCAACGTCCCTCATGCTGGGATTACAGGTATATGCTACCATGCCCAGTTTACCAGCAGGCTTGCTCCTCTGCATGACCATACTCACTTACATGCAGTGCCTTCCTAGCTTAAATGCTGTCCAAAGTATCTCTGCCTCAAAACCTTCCCCTTCCTGTCCCATTCTGAGTAATGATATCATTATTTCTATTATTTCATTAAACCTGAATTCCTAGGACTTCTAAATTCTGCTGATGTCTCCGTATGTGTATCCACTGGGCTCCGTTGATTTTACCTCCTAAATAGCTCTTAGGTACACACTCTTAATTCTTTTAGTTTTCATCATTTTGCATTTTACTGGCTTTTCTTCTACCTTATTAGAATGGTCTCTTACTCTCCTTTGTAAGACTTTTCCTTTTTGTGGAAAAAGGAAAAAAATCTTAATGTGGAACTCTATCACAAGACCTACTCCCGTTATCCTTTCTTTTTTTTCAACCATCACTCTTACCCCTTTTTCTGTTTCCAAAGAAACTTTTTTCAGGCCCATATGCCATTAATCCCCAAATTTTACTTAAAATTTTGGCATTTTTCTTGAATTGTACTCAGTGTGTAAAGATACTAGCTGTCTTAGTATTATCACATTTTGTTCCTTCTCAGGGTTTTCCCAGCCTCCTAGTTAAACACTGAGGCACAGAAACCTAGGCATCATCCTCAATCCTCCTCTTATTACCCTCATGCCCTCATGCTGTTTTCTCCATGTGTGCAATCTCTAGCTCTTCTGTTGGCTTCCCTTTATACTAGAATTTAAACTTGCTCACCTCCTCATCTCTTCTATAACTACCTTATTCCAGGGCATTCCACTGCCGAGATTACAGGAATAGTATAGTTAGTGTATATCTCGACTTGCGATGTCTCCCTCTGTAGTCCACTCTCTACATAGGACCCAGAGCGATCTTTTAAAATTGTTAATCACAAAAAGTTGACTGCCTGCTTAAAACCCTCCAGGTATTTTTCATCATTCTTGGGATAAAATCTAGATCTTGTTTGCCTTTGCCCACTGAACACCTTCCGTCTTCCTTCCTTTCTTTTCCCTTCCCTCTTTTCTCCCTCCTTCACACTGAGCTATATCACCCAACCCTATTTTGTTTTTTATTATAAGACATAATCTTGCTGAATTGCCCAGGATGGACTCAAACTTGCAATCCTCCTGCCTCAATCTCCTTAGTAACTTAGATTACAGGTATGTGCCACCACACCTGGCACCTGTAACTTTTTCATGAACACACTGAAATTTCTTCTTTCCTTCAGTCTTTAAGCTGGATATTCCCTTTGGATATATTTCAAAAACTTAGTATCAGAGAGTCCTTCCCCAGTCAGTTCAGAGTAGTTGTCAGATACCTTTTGTCACATCACCTGTTTTAATTTCAACATGGCACTTATTGACTGATTTTTCTTATTTTTTGTCCCCCTCTCCCAAAGTATATTATATGAGACTAGAGATCTTATTTATCTTTATATACTACTGAATATAAAAATCATGATAGACTTTCTGGGATAGAGTAGGTGCATAGTTAATGTCCATTGAATGGGTGAATTTAAACCCTCGATACTTAAACAGTTCTTATCAACAGCATTTAAGCTATCTGTTTAAGTTCTTTCTGTTAGCAGCCTCCTGATTAGTCTGTATTTCTTCATCCTAACATCCCTGGTAAAATATTTTTAAGGCACAGATCTAATTATGGATCTTTTATGTAAGTTGTCTGCATGGGCATTCCTTGGTCTGTGATGTGTGTGTGTGTGTGTGTGTGTGTGTGTGTGTGTGTGTGTGTGTGTGTTTCTGTCTTTTTCGTTTTTATCGGACCAGGGATCGAACTCACAACTGCCTGCTTGCAAGGCAAGCGCTTATGCTGCTGAGCTAAATCCCTAGCCCCGATCTATGATGTTTAAACTTAATATGGAATACAAGACCTTCCATGATTTTGTGTGGTCTTTTTTTTTTCTTCCTGGACTTGTTTTTTACCATTCTCCTCCTCTATACATTCCATCCTGTTGGCAATTATTTTAAATCACTGAACTCTGTTGTACCTTTGTGCCTTGGCACGTGCTGTACACACTGCCTAACGTGTCTTTCTCTTTTGTGATCATCTGCTTAATGTCTTTTCATCATTTAAGGATCCACTCAGAAGCTACTCTGTTTAAGGTTTATCTTCTTCTCAAGCACGCTTAAGACATGTACTTTTGCTTTGTGTTTACACTGCAGTGCTGACATTATGTATCTTTTTCCCTTAATTAGAAAATAAGGTCTTTTATGGGCAGGATCCCTGCTTTGTTTAATGTTGTTTTCCCATTGCCTTGTATAATAACTGATAATTGGTACCAAATTAATAAATGTGTGTGGGATTAAGTCAAGAAACCTCAGAATATATTAAATACCTGGTTTCCCTCAAAATATTGACCTATCTTCCTTTCTGGTAGAAGCAAGGAGAGTTGGAAGAAGAAGATGAAAACCTTCCTATACAAGAAGTATCTTTTGATCCAGAGAAAGCTCAGTGTTGCCTAGTGGAGAATGGACAGGTTTTAACTCATGGCAGTGGAGGAAAAGGCTATGGATTAGCATCAACAGGAATAACCTCTGGATGCTATCAGTGGAAGGTACGTGGAGTTCTAAATAGTGATTAGCATTTCGTGTTTTAGTCCTTGTACTCCAGGTTCTTATAAGAAAAAAAAAATCCTGAGGAAAGACTTAAAAAATCAGATATGTAAGCAAAGTGGTATTATTATGTAAGGTGTTATAAGTGGAAACTGACTGAAGAACACATACTATACTGTTTTTGTAACTCTTTCCTAACTCTACAATTACCTTATAATCAAATATTTTTAAAAATTGTATTCTTTCCTTCTTATGAAGGATCACATAGCACATTTCTCCTGGCAGTGAAAATGCAGCAACATCTCTGTGATCTTTTTCACGTGGGAAATCCTGGTAATAGTTTATCTCATGAGCATTCAAAAATGCTTTATTTTGTAGTTACTCTGTGGGTGCCATCAACTAAAAATACAGATTGGCAGAAGGAAAGCATTTAAATAACACATATTGTTTGTACAATCTAGGCCTAATGAGGCAGCCTTTTCAGTTGTGGAAATTTTTATCTATGTAGAGAACTGTTTTTTACTAGTTGAGTTTACTAATGTCAGCCATGGGCCACAATTGTAAGCAGCTGTTTCTAAGGATAACACTGTGCCTTTTCTATGTATCCCATTGATTCTTGGCTGCCAGGTATTTATAATAAAACTGTTAATAAAAACCCCTCACCCAGGTGGTAGGTGAGATCAACTGTAGTGTTGACTTCAGTTATGCCTTTTAAGAGTCTGACATAGCCAGTTAAAACAAATCGTTAACTATCAAGACCTACTTCTAAGGCTATGTGGCTTCATTTTTGAGTTTTCGTGTTCACTTTTTAAAGTTAGGCATTGATTTTTACACAGGACAACTCTGGCCATCTAGTGTAGAGTTAGTATCACTATGGGGCACACACACAAGAACTATAATCTTATAGGACATGGATGTTTCCCTGGAAACCAGGACTGTATAATTGTTAGGGTACCACTTATCAGGGCGCACAATAATCAGATAATGCAGGTTAAATGGCCTCAATTGGCCTGCCACTATTTTCAGTCTAAATAATTTAGTTGACCCACGGATTTCAGACTAATTGTTAGAAAGTAGTTTGAAAGGATTTTGTTGCCTGTGTTGTCATTTTGGTGTCTCAAGTATGGATGACAAGTGGCAGTATTTTGTGGAAGGTTCAGGAACAGATAAGTGGTGTTGAATCAAACCATCACAGTGTTGTTCCAAATTGTAACTCATCCAGAAAGTGAAATATACTAAGTAAAAAAGAAAGAAAAAGGAAGAGAGAGAAGAAGTAGACATCACCAAAAGGAAATTAAGAGTCCCATTTCTGAAGAGTGGTCGGGGGATTATTAATCTGTGTAGTTTAGCTTTTACCTTTCAGTAGGAGTCATAAGTTAAGACATGTATCTAGATGAGTCCATCTAAAATGAAGCCCTTCACTATGAGCCATCTACAAGAGACTCAACCGTCCAGCCAGCATTCATAATGTTTTCATAGTTTATGACCTCACAGAAGAGTGTCCTAAACTGGCAGCCCCCACATTGGTATTCTGTTCACTGAATCTCTGCCTACTTTTGATTGTGCACTATCAACCAGTGAAACAGCATGTGGCAGACAGTATCAGCTTTTATTTAGAGTATAAGCAATTAGAATTATGAGTAAAGGATTCTAGAACGTTTTGGGGGGCAACAATAAGGCCTAAATGCTGTGTGGTTGAGTCCAGGTGACCAGCTAGACTCCCACAGGGAGTTTATCATTCTTAAAAGTTCAAAGTGACCCACTCACCGGGCGTGGTGGCGCATGCCTGTAGTCCTAGCTACTTGGGAGGCTGAGGTGGGAGGATCGCTTGAGTCCAGGAGTTCTGGGCTGCAGTGCGCTATGCCGATCGGGTGTCCGCACTAAGTTGCACTAAGTTCGGCATCAATATGGTGACCTCCCGGGAGTGGGGGACCACCAGGTTGCCTAAGGAGGGGTGAACCCGCCCAGGTCGGAAAGGGAGCAGGTCAAAACTCCCGTGCTGATCAGTAGTGGGATCGCGCCTGTGAATAGCCAATGCACTCCAGCCTGGGCAATATAGTGAGACCCTGTCTCTAAAAAAAAAAACAAAGTGACCCACTCAAAAATGTGCACTTCAGGCTGGAAAATTACCAGCCTCTTTATCAGACATCTGATTTTACAAAACTTATTACCAACTGAAAACTGCTTTGTAACACTCTAAAAGTATATTTATTGTAATGCCAAATATTGAGTACAGTAACCCAAGTATTGTAAACCACTTTTCCAGGCTTCCTCACAATCTAAAAAGTTATATTTATAATCCCATTGAGATATTATTGGAATCCTAGCAAGTTAATTCCAGTCTACCACCTCCAATGCAACCCACTGGAGAGTGAAGATACCAAGACATTCCAAGTTAAGGACAGTGGAGAGGTCCTAAATCCAATCCCCGTGAGGATGTGTGGACAGAGGCCCTGATCCAAGGCCTCTCCCAGAATTACCCTGCAAAGAAGGGCGTGGCTCCAGAATGAGTGACAATGAGTAACTAGGGAGTAACTTGAGCTGGCTGGCCAGGTGTGAGAAAAGCATCTTGGCAAAATGCAAGTATAGCAAAATGCAGAAGGATCAATCTGCATAATTCAGTTAAGGTAGCAACTGAATTGTTTTTGGAGGCTGTTGTTTCAGTTTCTAATATGCAAACTTTCATGCCCTGGGGACTCATAGCCTCTTTATTTGGAGGCTCATACCCAGTTGACATTCCTTGGAGCTGACTGACTCTACCATCCTGCTGTGCCCATGGATCTGTTACAGAGAACACTACTCTAGGAAACAGGAGACTGTCTGATGGCTTTAGAGATTACACACCAGTACCTTGGCTGGCCTTATTTGCAATGCTTACAGCCAATTGAAGAGAGAAGGAATTAATAAAAACCCTTCACCCAGGCAGTGGGTGAGATCAATTGTAGTGTTGACTTCAGTTATGCCTTTTAGGAGTCTAAGACGTTAGCCAGTTAAAACAAATCATTAACTATCAAGACCTGCTTATGAAGCCACATACATATCAGTACTTTGTACATATCAGTATAAAGAAATAAGTCTCCACATAATCAAAGTTGCAGAAATTGTTCTCCATTCAAGGGGAGTCACTCAAGTTGTCTCCTGTATATATCTATATCTGTTTGGAGCTGCCTATTTTTAAATTTTATCTTCCCATTGTCCTGAGGCTCCAGTAAGAAAAAAATCATAGCAGAAATATCTCCAGTTATTTTTGCTTTCAGTACACACAGTTTAAAGTGTGGTAAAAAGCAAGGAAATTGTGTACCACTACCTTAGTGAAGATGAGCCTTTCAGAGACAGAGCACACAGACTACAACCTAAAACCCACTTATCACCAAGTGCCAACACTGCAATTAAATCTGAGTACTGAGGTTTTAGCTTAGAAAAAACACTTGTTATCGGACCCTCAGCTGCTGTGGGAACTTGGCTTGCATGCTGCCAGAGACAGGCCACCATCACAGATTGGCAGGCCTGTGTGTGTTCTGCAGCTCTCTTTGATGAGAGCTGATCTATGAAGTTAAAAGACTATATAACCTTTTATATCAATTTTTAAATTAATATATCCATTTAAATTAATATATCACAAAGTTGTTTTAATTTTTTTTTCTTTTCTCTTCCCTCAGATCTTAAGTTTACTCTAATCCTTCAAAGAAAATTGAGCATTCATAGGGTTAATTGGTCAGGGAAGATAAATTGTTATAATGGTAGCAGGAGGCTGAAGAAAGTAGTTTCCTTTTTTATTTTTTGCTTTGCAGAACTGATTTAACCTTTTCATCTCTTACTTGAAGGAAAGAGTATGCATCGTTGTTATATTATTGGCCTACCCAAAGCTCATTTTGAGAGATTTTTGAATCCTTTTTCCTCTTACTATAGGAGAGAGCAACTGCAAGCTCATTTTTATTCTTTGGCCCATCCAAAACCAATATATGAGAATATCTATTCCTTTTTTCTTCCCACCTGGAAAAGAGAACAGCACAAAATCCCCTCAACTGCCTTTTTTTTTTTTTTTTTTTGTCTTTTTCTTTTTTATCAGTACCAGGGATTGAACTCACGACTGCACACTTGCAAGGCAGGCGCTTATGCCGCTGAGCTAAATCCCCAGCCCTCAACTGCCTTTTAAAAGCCCCTGTTGTCAGGTAGCAAGGCCAAAAGCAGTGGGATCCAGCGCATCTAGTGTCCTGAGAGTGGGCCTATAGTTATCTGGCCTAGGCACATTTCCTTAGCTTTGTAATTAAGTTGCAAACTGAAATGACTTCAAATGTTATAGATACTCGAAGGTTATTCTAAACATTCTGTAAAGGTAAAGAATAAAGTTGTTTTAAACTCTTTATATGTTGGGCGTGGTGGCACACTCTTGTAATCCCAGCACTCGAGAGGCCGAGGCAAGAGGATCATCGCAAGTTCCAGGCTAGCCTGTGCTATGAAGTGAGCCCAAGACCAGCCTGAACTGCACAGAGAGACCCTATCTCAAAAAGACAAAAATTAAAAAACCCAAAAAACCCCACAAAAACTCTGTATAAGTTGATGAAGTTATTTTTATATTTCCACTTAAGCTAAAAGTTACTTAACATGTTTCTATAAATGCATAAGTATTATTTATGTTAATATGTTCCTCAGTGTTGGTTTGTGGAGTTATTGGCATATATACTCTTTTTAGTATTCATGACCATTGTGACTTTTATTTTAGTTTTACATTGTGAAGGAAAACAGAGGCAACGAAGGCACATGCGTTGGAGTTTCTCGCTGGCCAGTCCATGACTTTAACCACCGTACCACCTCGGATATGTGGCTCTATCGGGCCTACAGTGGCAATCTCTATCACAATGGAGAACAGACTCTGACATTGTCCAGCTTTACTCAGGGGGATTTCATTACTTGTGTGTTAGACATGGAAGCCAGGACCATTTCGTTTGGGAAAAATGGAGAGGTACTGAAACACATTCATAAACATGGCTTTTTTCCCCCTAAAATTACATTCAACTCAGTTGTTCAAGTGCTAGTTACCCACTTTATAGATTACTTACCTCTCACCTTCTTTTCTTTAGTATTTTCTGGCTCTCGTAATACTTTTCAGCACCACCTGGGTGTAGTGGCACATGCCTGTAATCCCAACACTAGGAGGCTGAGGCAGGAGGATCACTGTGAGTTCAAAGTCAGCCTGGGGTAAATAGTGATTTCAAGGCCAGCTTTAACTACATAGCCAGACTCTTGTCTCAAAAAACGTATTCAGTGCCAAACTAACAACAAAAAGGCGGCCAAATCAAGCCCCAGTAAGATTTTTGAAAAAAGTGAATAAATTAAGATCATTTATTTTATGTGGAATTAACTTAGTCAAAAAGTTTAGTTGGGATTTGGCTCTAGTAACTGTTGTTTTGTCTTATAATGGGTTTAATTTTAATATGGTTAGATATTTTCAGTTAATGTTTTTTCTCTTTTCCTCACCTGTGCCACATTCTAGGAACCCAAATTAGCTTTTGAAGATGTAGATGCAGCAGAGTTGTACCCGTGTGTAATGTTCTACAGCAGCAACCCAGGAGAGAAGGTACTGAAACTTCACACTTTTTTTTTTTGTCTTTTTCCTTTTTATTGGTACCAGGGATCGAACTCACAACTGCCTGCTTGCAAGGCAGGCGCTTATGCCGCTGAGCTAAATTCCCAGCCCCAAAACTTCACACTTTTTTAAGCTTTAGAAGTACGTGTTAGTATCAGGTAGACTTTGTAAGGATAATAAGGTGTTTACACCATTGAAAGAACCTGACCCAAGTAACTCATGCTTCTAGAAGAAGGTTAAATACTTCAGAAATTGTCTTTAATCCACTGTTTGACCTTCAGGCAAATTGAATATAGTAAGTCAACTTTCAAATATATGTGCAACAGTTGGAGTTGTAAGAACTAGATTATGGATAATCTGACTTGTTGACAATTACGAATATGAGAAAAAATCTAAAATTAATCTTAAATGTAATGAGATGCCATTAGCCAAATAATTGTAGGTATGTTGTATTGAGGAAATCCCCTTGTATTCATTTAACTGGGGGGTTCTTAGATCTTGTAGGTAGTATAAAGTTGAACCTCATGAGAACAACATTAAAGGGATACCTTCTCACTAGAACCCAAATCCATTTTATTTCAAGGAAAAGAAAAGTTTTTCAAAACACGTCAATTAGGCAGCAACAATGGTACATGCATTGCACATTGTCATCCCCAATTCATTTACCCAGAGCATAAGACATCTGCTTAAATTGTTGGAACAAAACCAGCACAAATCTTTCTCTTCATTGAACTCAGAGAAATCAGTAGTATAACTGTCTTAACTATTTTTTATATACATATACATATGTTTCCTCTTTCAGCTTCTCACATTAGTGAGACAATATGATGTGTATATATGCATTTCTGATTTATTTCACTAATGAGTATATTTTCAAATTGCATCCAGTTACCCATAAAAGTCTCCAGTTCATCAGTCTTTATCAGGCTGAATAGTACTCCATTGTATAAAAACACCACATCTTTTTGATCCATTCCTCAGTTGATGTGCATTTAGGTTGTTTCTAAGATCTGGCTATTACAAATTGTGCTGCTATAAACACAGGTGTACATATATCACTGTGGTATGAAGTTTTTAATTCTTTTGGAAAGATACCCAGAAGGGGAATAGCTGGATCAAATGGAATCTCTAGTCCTAGCTTTTTGAACAATCTCCACAATGATTTCCACAGTGGTTGCACCAGTCTATGTTCCTACCAACAGTGGAGAAAAATAACATTAAAATTTAAAAAGAAAGAATTTCTACTTATTTTACAGTAGAAAATTTTCAAGTTAGGTCATTTATGATTTCCCCATGAGAGGAGTTTTAGACTTGTCAAACCTTCAGATGCAAGACACGGGAAGATGCAGACAAGGCTGCAAGGAACCCTCAAGTCTGGTCTGCCATAAGCACTCAAAGGATTATAAAATATCCCTTTGGGAGGCAGGAGGTGAAGACCACTGGTTACTGACTGAAATCCAGGATTTTTAGTCTGGAGCACGTCCTCTATTTCATGTGAGAATTAAATTCCAAACCACAATAAAACAAGGAAATCTCTGGCTTCATCAGGTCATCTAATGTAAAATCATAAATATGTTTTTTAATTTGGAATGGCTGCCAAGAGCAGTGATACACACCTGTCATGCCATCTACTTGGAGGCTGAGGCAGGATTGCCGCCAGTTCAGGCCAGACTGGGCTACATAGTGAATTCAAGGCCAGCCTGATTTGCAGAGCGAGAGCCTGTCTCAGAAAGAGTTAAAATGAGGGGCTGGGGATTTAGCTCAGCGGCATAAGCACCTGCCTTGCAAACAGGTGATGGTGAGTTCGATCCCCAATACCAATAAAAAAAAAAAAAGAGTTAAAATGATACATTTTCTGTTTATTTGCCCATAATAAAAAAGTAATGAACTAAAACTTCAAGGTTAACATGATATAACCCAAGTTCTAGCCTGGCTGGTATCAGAATTATAACAAATATTTATTAAGTTCATACCATGTACTAAGCATTTTACATTACATTTTTTTGTTTAATCTCCTGATAGGCCTAGGAATTAGACTTCATTATTGTTCCCATTTTACAAATAATTAAAGTGACTGAGTGTGGTGGTCCATGCCCGTTCCTCTGGCACAAAAAAATAAACAAAATTAATTAAAAATGAATGGTCTTGGGGCTGGGGATTTAGCTTAGCGGCATAAGCACCTGCCTTGCAAGCAGGCGGTCATGAGTTCGATCCCTGGAACCGATAAAAATGAAAAAGACAAAAAAAAAAAAAAAAGAATGGTCTTGGGGCTGGAGGTTTAGTTCAGTGGCATAAGTGCCTGCTTGGCAAACTCAAAGTCGTGAGTTCAATTCCTGACACCAAAAAAAAAAGAATGGTCTTAAATTCAAAGGAAGACGTTCAAGGTGGATCCATCCCTTATTTCTTGGTAAGGCTCTAGATTCTTTCTTTTTATAAATTCAATGTATTTTCAGTATGACATATTTAGAGCATTCACCAAAAAAAGTGGGGAATAAAATGATCTTGTGTACAGCTATCACCCAGTGTAAGGATATCTTTTTTTTTTTTAATTTTACTTAAAAGGAAAAAGAGAAAAACACAAAACAAAACAAAGCGGTGTAAGGGTACAAGTAATACAGAACTACAAAAAAAAACCAGTAAGAAATCACGTGTAAGGATATCTTAATGCCCTTTTCCTTTAGCTTTTTCCCATCTGCTAAAAGTGTACAGAGTAAAAACACAGATGCCGTGAAGCCCTGATCAGGAATCTGCAGCCCATTCTTCTCCCTGCTTCCCTTGTGAATTTAGTGTATACCATCCCTGTACATAGTTTTACACTTTTGCTAATGTGTGTTTATAAAGATGATACAGTATTATTTTGCATTTTTCTAAACTGTTTTAGTGCATTTTGATGTCATATATTTCCTTTTGCAGTTTCTTATTCAATTTTTTTTTTTTTTGTCTCTTTGAGACAAGGTCTCACTGTGCAGTTCAGGCTGGCCTTGGGCTCATTTTGTAATTCAGGCTGGTCTCAAACTTGCAACAATCCCTCTGCCTCAACCTTCCCAGTGCTGGGGTTACAGGAGTGGGCTACCATACCTGGCTAACATTATAGTTTTGAGCTAATTGATTCAGATGGCTCTAATTCATTGATTTTTGTGGCCATATAGTATTTTATTTTCTGAATCACAGTTCCACCTTTCTTCTGTCCAGACATTATTATTATTATAACATCGTCCCAATGTAGATTTTAGTCCCTCTCGCTCTCTGGGTCCATGTGTGAATGTACTGTACATTCAGAAGTAGAATTTGTAGGCCTCCAGGGGTGAATATCAACTTTTTAGATTTTGCTAAATTGTTCTCCCAACCAGTTACATCAGTTTAAACCCTCACCAAACAGTACTGAACATGCCATTAACACCCTAGTGTGAATCAGTGCTCTACAGTTTTATTGGACCGTGAAGTACTTTCTTTTCTAGGATTCCATGAGACAGGATAGCAGCCTAGAACTTCATTTCATTTCCTTCCCATCTCAACCAACCATGTGTCCAGCACCTTCTGTGAGCAAGCTCTAGGAAGACTCAGTGCCAAGTGAGATCCCCTCCTGGCCCTCGAGGGGGTTCCAGTCTAGTGGGTACAGCAGGATGGAAACAGTGACTCAGACCACAGGAAACTGTGACTCACAATCAGGCTTTGGTGGGTGAGTCCCAGAAAAAGGGACTGTGTTTTCTTTTAATGTCTTAAATTTCTAAAGATAAAAAGTCTTTTTGAAAAGAGAGAAACTTGAAAGTCCAGAGACAATAGATTGGTGTACTGCCATTGCCTCGGTGATTTATTGTAATGGGGAGGGTGGCTGAGAGGGGACCACAGAGCCAGGCAGCCTTCTTGGCCACTGTGGACCCCAGAGGGGAGGCTGTGTTACGGGTGGGGCCAGCTCTGTAAGCGTGGGTCGGCATCCCTGTACTGTCACCCATGGGCTCAGTCAGGTTGTCTCTGCAATGATGGCCTCCAGGTTGCAAATCTAGAATATTCATTCCTCTCTCCCTGGTTTCAAACTCCAGCAGTGTGGCTTATAGCTGGCATATTAGAGTTGTTTATTCAAAGCCTAATTAATTTACTAATTTATTCATTCTTTCTAGTTTATTTCTTTTTGTATGGGAGATTGAGCCCAGGGCCTTAGAACTGAACTACAAGCCTGGCCCTTTTTAAATTTTTAGTTTGAGGCATGATACTTATTGTTAAGTTGCATAGGCTGGGCTCAAACTTGTGATCCTCCTGCTTCAGCCTCCCAGAGTTCTGGGAATCCAGGCATGCGCCCATGCCTAGACACTGGTCTCATATTCCTCAGTAATTGACAAGTTGCTTGGACCCATGAATATGGAAACCCAACTCTAATCAAGAAGATTTGTTAAACAAGAACAAATGTGCAGAATCCTCCAAGTCCCCATAATAACAGTACTGAGATCTAAACAGTAATATTTTAGAATGTTCTTGGTTTTTTTTAACTACACATGCATGACTTCTACAAAAATTACTTTGTGTTATAATCATATTTTGTCTTTCTTCATTCAATAATGTTTTGTACCCTGTCAACAATACCCTTCCCTAACTTTTCTTTTTTCTTTTTCTTCTGTGCTGGAAATCAAACCCAGGCCTCAAGCACACTAGGGAATTGCTGTACCACTGAGCTGCAAATGCCAGACTTGGCATTTGTGTTTAGACCTGGCATAATTTTAATGCAAAATTAATGCATAATTTTAACGCAAAACATTTCATTGCTTGGAAGAGTCATAATGTTACTTACTGCATTTTAGTCAGTGTTTAGTGTGCTAACCTTTCTAAGTGGCAACATTGAATTTTCTTATATATCTTGGATTTTTAATTGCTTCCTCAAATAAATTCTTCAGGAGAATTTGTGCGTCAAAAGAAAATATGAATTTTCTAGTAGTTTGATCAATAGCTTTCATAAAATTTATTCCAACTTATATACCATCTTGGAGAGTTCAGGTGTCCTTTCCACATATCCCTGTCTACTCTGGCCATTTTAAAACCTTCTCATTGTGGACAATTTGAGTATTTAAAATATAGTATCTCCTGAGCTGAACATGGTGCTGCACACCTGTAATCCCAGCACTCAGGAAGATTAGTGTGAGTTCAAGTCCAGCCTGGACTATACTGCAAGACTCTGTCTTAAAGAGTAATAAATAAATAGTTTCTCCACGATTGTAATTTATTAGTAAGGTTGAACGTATATTCAGATATTTATTGATAATTTGTAACTATATTTGTGAATTGCCTATTCATAGTTTGACCATTATATATTTGGATATATACCTTCTAATTGATCTGAAAGCTTTCTGAATAAAAAGGAAATGTCTTCACCTGATTTTTCATTTCCTGTTAATTTTGTCTATGGTACATGTATTCACTGAGTTTCCCATGGCTGGGACAAAATACTAGACACACAATTTCAAGAAATTTATATGGATTATAGATCCATAAGGTTCAGTCCATGGATAGCTCATTTCAAGGTAGAAACGTCATGGCAGAAGGATATAGCAAAGTAAGCTGCTCAATTTATGGCATCCAGGAAGCAGAGAGCAAAGAAGAGCACCAGACAGAAAGAAGCCAGGAAAACATATAATGCCTCTGGTCGCAACCCCATGACTCACTTCCTCCAAGGAGGCCCCACCTCCCAACAGCCCATTCAGCCAAGAACTCAGCCATAGGTTAAGCTATTAATGAGGTTAGTGTCCTCACAATCCAATCATCTCTTCAGCTGACAATCAAGATGCAGGAGCATGGTACATTTTCCCCTCTATAGAAGTAGTGGAAGGTTTTGTGTAGACAATAAGGGGGTGAAAGAGTCTTCTCTTGTGCTCCTCCCTTTTTGCTCTTGTTGCTTTTGCTGTCTTCTGCTGCCATGCATGGTTGACCCTGTCATGTCACCCTGCATTGGAACCAGCTGATTATGTACTAAACCTTCAAACTGTGAGCTAAATAAAACTTTCCTTCTTTAATTTTGGGTATCAGATTATTTCGTCTTGGAAATGAGAGAAAAGTAACCAACATAGACAAGAATCAATTTGCTTCATGGGCTTTGCAGGAAGCAGGATTGGGTTTGCAGTGGTTGGTTGTATATAAAAACTTCCCTGATCCCCAAATCTACATGCACATGAGCCCTGAAATAAGATCATTTTAGTTGCATTGGACTCCAATAGGGCCCTTTTTTCTTTATTCAATGAATTTGTTAAAATTATTAACACAACGTGACATTACAAGCAAAAATATAGAGAAAAAACCCATGAATTTACTCCAACTCAATAATTTTTGTGTATTTCCTTCTGTCTCCCTGTCCCTGTCTCTGTCTCTGTCCCTGTCTCTCTCTCTCTCTCTCTCTCTCTCTCTCTCTCTCTTTCATAGTGATTCAAACAGTGTGCTCCAATGATGCCATTAGGGCATTTTGTCCCTGTACCCTCGCATCTGTTACACACTGAGGGTCAGAATGGTTTGTCAAAGGTTCCCACAAAGGTGGACGTCTAGGAGTGACAACAGGTGTAAGGATAGTCATTCAACAATTCAAGCACCCCGTGGACCCGTGTTAGGCGCTGTGGATACGATGCCCACGCTACAGTGCCCTTGCCCTCACGGGGCTCCCCAGTGCAGATCCGGATCACAACCATGATACAAATCACCTGCCGGAGTTTGCCTTCCGCGCGCCCAGCTCCGGGTTCCCGCAGCGCTCGAGCGGCGCCCGAGTGTAAGGCGCGATAAAGAGCTCGGGGCCTGGCGCGCCGTGGAGATAAAGGGGGTGCGGCCACCCGGCTTCCCCAGTGTCCCTTCGTCCCGCAGCACCCAGCGTCGGGCTTTTTCCGCAGATGGCGAGGAAACCCGGGCTCGCCTGCCCGCCCCCACCGCTCCGGCTCTTTATGAAGCTTCCCCAATTGTGCATCGTCGGCAGAGTCTGCGTCGAGCGCGCTGACGGGCTGCTCGGCTCCGTGAGGGCCGAGCAGTGGTCCCCGGGCCCAGTCAGCCGGGCTAGCTTTCCCCGTTCCCGGGCCCCTCTTGTCCCTTCCCCTCCTGTCCCATTCCCTGTCTCCCGTCCCCTCGACGCGCGTAGCCTCCCTCACCCTCCCTCCACATTTCTCCCCAACCCCCTTCCCTCCAGAGCACAGCCTGGGGGCGGGGCGAAGCCTCCGGACCGCGCGAGAGTTCCACCCAAATCCCGCGAGATTCGCCTGCTGCCGCGGCTGCCGCCTCTTACGTCTTTCCCTTTGACAAGTCGTAGCCGCTGCAGCAAAAATAAAGGACGCGGCCACCAGAGCAGCTCCCGAGCCGGGCTCGGGTCGCTGGAGCCGCGCCCCACCTCCGCCACTCCACTGCCGCCCACGGTAACGCCTCCTTGTTTGCCTTCCAGCTGCTTGTGAAGGTGCTCGGCTGACTGGGAGAGGCCGCCCCGGGCCGTTCCGGGGCCGCCTCGGAGCGGGGCTGTCGGGGTCCTGGGTAGGCGGCGGGCGGAGCCTGAGGGAACACTCTGGGCTAGGGCATGGGGGAACCCTGGGAGGTCTCCTGCATCCGGGCCTCAGTGGCGAGCCGACCCCCGGGTGGGGCCGAGGGACCCGCCCCTCCCGCGGTGCGCCGCGTCTGCCCCGCGGCCCCGGGGTCGCGCCTCAGACCTTTCTCCCACCACTTTACCCTCAACGAGCGCCCCTCCCCCGCTAGGGCTCATGCCGGGCTGGAGGGCCATGGTCC